GTTGACCGTTGGCAATAGTATAGTGCTATGGTTGAGCCACAGTACTGGACCGGAAAGATAAAGGGAGACGAGCTCTATTGGGAGACTATCAATACATCTACTGTGACGGTGGCAACAACACCGCTGCCAGGGATAGAACCAACGACCTTATAGTTACTGGGAGAGCACGGTTGAGCTATCTACCACTCCACCAAAATTCCACTAACAGCAATGATGTTGCGAGAACAAAAGCAGTATCAGAAATGGCAGAACCTCTGAAGGCCCGCCTAATGCCATTGCCTATGCAGCTACCAACAGAGCATCGTCTCCAGAAAAGACCAACAAGGCATAAAAGGAAACCATCCAGGCCTGGTAGTGACAGCACTACCCGACCTATAACCAGTAAGTAACTATTCACAACAAGAGTAACCACGCCCACTATCAAACGTGGTAGAAAGAAGAAGAAGGCCTCACTGAGAGTTACAATAACAATAACCATAACCAATATCTCTACGGCACACTATCAACTGCTACTTACTCCACTACACGATGAAACTAATTCACTTCACTCCCAGCAGACGTACCTAACAAATCGATCACCAGGGCGAGCGCTATCATCCCAGACCCTACTGGCATCACTACGAAGCCTTTGCCTGACGCTATCATCGCTTCCGGCGTAACGACTAGGTACGACCCTCTTCACAGCGTCTCTTCTGAGAGCCGTTGCTTCCTCTGGGCACATGACGTAGGTCTTATGAGCCTCCTCAGCGACAATACGAGGGAGCACAGCACTGAGCTTCGACAACTGCTTGGATAAGTCTTCCACTGAGGGAATCTACAACAACAACAACAACATAATTAACGTCTACACCACTCTTGGGTCCCACTGATTTCATCTTCACACACTTCACGTAGCTCTGGGGTATAAGCCTCGACAGCAGCCTCGCTGGATTGAGGTCGCATCTACTGTTGCCCACCAATACCTACACCATCACCATCACCACCCAATACGAACTGAGCGACTAACTCACCAAGCTAACGTACTCAGCATTGGTATGGCCACCACCATTACGAGAGCTCAACGCCCGAGCCATGGACCGAGCCTTACTCGCCAAACCAGTTGTGCTCTTCACCTCGACCTTAGGGTTACTACCATCAATGAGTGGTAGAATGCCAGAGGCAGATCTACAACAACTTCTCATCATCAACAACAAAGAGGTCCTCGCATATGAACCTCCACCCACTACCTCCTAGCACATTTATACACCCATGCTGGGTTTGCGGCCGTTACTATATGGACTTTGTTGCCATTGCTCATCGACACTGCATCCCGTAGGACCTTTTCAGCGGCTTCCAAGCAGGACCTAATAATGGTACTCTACTTCACAGACTTCCATTTCTCATCACATGGATCACCGCCATGTTATAAATAAAGTCCTACCTACACCTCGTATTGGAAACGACAGGAAACAAGATGCT